GTTTTCTCCTTCACAGATGCTGCCAGACCTGCTGAGCCTTTCCAGCAACTTTGTTTTTGTTCCTGATTTACAGCATCCACAGTTCTTTTAGTTTTTGTTTAAGCCATGTTATTTCTCACTATTTCACTGGGATTGAAGCTTACTGACTAGGCTTTTTTTTTAAAAAAAAGTTCCCTTTCTTCATTGATCTCAAAGAAACTGCCACATCTTCTATATCTCCACTATTAAATACCCAACCCCTTACTATCCTGCAATCACTGCTTAGCTTCTGTAGGTCACAAACCGCCCAGAACATCAATACTGATGCAATAGCTGAGGGTGTTCATCTACCATCTCTCTTGTGTTTCTGGATACAGCTGGTGGGTAAATCCTCAGTCGCTGTTAGTTTTTAACTCTCGCTGTTCCTGATACCGTGATATTCAGTGTTTAGCTGCCGTGTTCCTCCTAGTTTGAAATATATCATCCCGCATGGTCTATGACATAGTCATTCAATTGGCCTAGCCCCGGGGGGTTGGACAGTGGCTATCTGGCCTTTTCTTTCCCAGGATTTCAGAACTCTGGATCAATTTACTTCCCTCAAGTGTTCCCCTTTCGTTTATTTGTCAGGCTGGCTTTGCAGCCTTGACAAACCAATTCCTGACGCACCACCTTCTTTTCGCTCTTTACTGTGGTTGGAGACTGAAAGTCACTTGACCTCGGATTTTCAATTTTGAAAGAGAATGCCCCTGGGCACCATGACTTCAGTAGCTCCTGGAGTTTTAATGCACCAGTACTGGAGTGAACTTGAGAACTGTGCCTCGAAACCCATTTGCTCTCTGGTTCAAATTCCAAACAAAACATTTCTTCAGGCTTCACGAAATAAGGCATTTAACGCCTTTTTGTTTCTAAGCAACTGGGAGTTGCGTGGTGCTCACGGCGACTAGTCCAGTTGAGGGATTCTACAGAAGGCATGATTATGCTTCAGTCAGTTTTCGGGACCAAAGTTCTGATTGTCATTTGATATTACATTTAACCTGCCGGGCAACATTTCTGATAATTTACTGGCATTCCTGAGGATTGATGTAACACTGTGTTCCCGTTTAACGCTATTTTTATTCAACAGCTTCAGTCGAAAAGTGCCAATTACATCGATTACTTTGAATGTCTACGTCAGTAACCACCATTAATGTATTGTATTACCAAAATAAAATCAAGGGATGCAGCCTTTCTCATTCACGGTAAATGTAATTATTGATAGCAACTAAACAGGCAATGCCTCTTGGTTAATGGAAGTGTTGTACGTTATTCAGTGCAAATTCAGAGTCGAGCCTTCCCCCTATCATCTGGTCTCCCAGGTCAATAAAGCGCAAAGTGGAGTTAACCGATCCATCAGAGCAGAAAGATCCCAGAGATCACGGAGGAGAGCTCCTTTTTCACTCCTGTCCAGGACAGTCTGTGTGTCTTTCCTTTCAGTCGTGCTGTGAGTGTGCCCAGCCCAGTCTGCTGTCGGGCAGTTTCATTGCTGTTAAAGGCACGCAGGTAGCAGACACGGGATCCCAGAGTGAAGCAGCAGCAGTAAGGCGCAGAGAGTCAGGATCCATGGCGGGTCCGGGGGGGTGGGGAGGTGAGTGACTGCACACAGCAGCATTGTTCACACACACACACACACACACACACACACACACCTTCCACATGCACGGCAGCAAGCCAGCTTGTCTGAAAAAAAAGACTTCCTTCCCGTATTTTTCACTCAGAGAGATTAAGTCAGCGGAGAACCGTACTAAAGTCAATCAAGAGGGTACACTGAATGTGCAATGATAGACTGTCACTTCCAGGAACACCACACGCTCTGGCACTTGGCCGGCCAAGGCCCCCACCCAACCCCCACCCCCCACCCCCGTCTCTTGTTTGCCCCCTTTGCATGTTCCAAAAGAGTGGTTGGGCTTCAATCACACGGTAAATCTCCAGCCGCTTGTCCCCATTCCCCTCTCCTCCCCCGGGGTAAAGGGGCTGCGGGCGGGCAGGCGGTGGGGGCCGGAGCGCTGTATTCCACACTGGGTTGGTGTGATGGGTGGGAGGCGGCTGTGGAAGGAAGCAGCTCACTGCTGCTGCTGCTGCCGGCGGGAGTTCCTCTCTGAGAGCTCCCCTACAGGTACCGCCAGGTGGTAGAAACTCGGCAGCCGCAGGTCATAACGCAGCCCGTTGCTCAGATACACTTTGTCGTTCAGGGAGTACAGTTTGTCGGCAATGTCCTTCCCAATCAAAACAGAGAAGAGCCTGGAAATGCGGCGGTGCTGAGCGAACAACAAGTACAGCTTCTTTCTCCTCCAGGCTGCAAAGCGACAGCTGGTCTCGGCTGTTAGAGTCACCTAGACACCGGGGGAAGGCAGAGCAAAACATCAGTCTCTATCGGTGACCATCGTATAACCCAGCCCTTCAATAAACCCAGAGAAAATAAAGCCCACTTCCACACTCAGTTCGCCATCCAATAGGCAATGAAACCAAATCCCGCTTTCGAAGCCAATTAAGTGACTGCACTCTGAAACCTGCTGTTCGTGGGGACAAAGCACATTTCCTCCCAACAAACAGCCAACGCAGGGCTCCGGCTTTGAACGGCGTCTCTACCGCGTCCCTAAATGTAGCGACCAGCCTGACACCAGGTGCGTGAGACGGTGAACAGTGGGAATCCAGTGACGGTGATTGTACAAGACAGTGGGAATCCAGTGACGGTGATTGTACAGACAGTGGCAACCCAGTGACGGTGATTGTACAGACAGTGGCAACCCAGTGACGGTGACTGTACAAGACAGTGGGAACCCAGCGACGGTGATTGTACAGACAGTGGGAACCCAGTGACGGTGACTGCACAGACAGTGGGAACCCAGTGACGGTGACTGCACAGACAGTGGGAACCCAGTGACGGTGACTGTACAAGACAGTGGGAACCCAGTGACGGTGACTGTACAAGACAGTGGGAACACAGTGACGGTGATTGCACAGACAGTGGGAACCCAGTGACGGTGACTGTACAAGACAGTGGGAACCCAGTGACGGTGATTGTACAAGACAGTGGGAACA